GCTTTGAAATTATCAGTTCACTTTCTAGCCTGTGTTTCTGCCGTCTTTAGTTCTTCTGCATATAAAACCCATCCCTTGCTCAGCTCGCTGGAGCACCTTTCTGTTTTACAAATGGGATACTGCCCGATTCATGAATTGAAAATAAAAGATGGCCCAGCACGGTGGCTCATGCCTGTAATCCCAGCATTTTTGGAGGCTGAGGTGGGCAGATCACCTGAGGTCAGGAGTTGGAGACCAGCCTGCCTAACATGGCAAAACCCTGTCTCTACTAAAAATACAAAAAATTAGCCAGGCATGGTGGCAGGCACCTGTAATCCCAGCTACTCAGGAGGCTGAGGCAGGAGAATCGCTTGAACCTGGGAGACAGAAGTTGCAGTGAGCCAAGATTGCCCAACTGCACTCCAGCCTGGGCAACAAGAGTGAAACTCTGTCTCAAAAAATACAAAATAAAATAAAATAAAATACAGACAATGAGATCATTAAATTCAGTTTGATAAAATTTTGTTTTTAGACAGCATCCATTGTGTTTCTTAGAAAGTGAAGTCCTGGGGCTGGGCACAGTGGTTCTTGCTTGTAATCCCAGCATGAGCCACTTTGGGAGGCAAAGGTGGGTGGATTCTTTGAGCCCAGGTGTTCAAGACCAGCCGGGAAACATGGCAAAATCCTGTCTCTACAAAATATACAAAAACTAGCTGGGCATCGTGGCATGCGCCTGCAGTTCCAGCTACTAGGGAGGCTGAGGCGAGAGGACCACTTGAGCCCTAGAGGTGGAGGTTGCAGTGAGCCACGACAGTGTCACTGCACTCCAGCCTGGGTCAGCCTGGGTGACAAAGTGAGATCCCTCTCTTAAATAAATAAATAAATAAGGGAAATCAAATTCCTGGAGTGCTTGAAGACTGAGAAGGAGGGTAGCGTAGTGATATGACTCTCAAACCTGAGCGCTTCAGAATCCCCTCAAGGGCTTGTCACAACACAGATGGCTGGGCCCCACCTGCAAAGTTTAAGATTTCCTGGGTTTGAGGTGGAGGGAAGAATAATTAGGATGTCTAGCAAGTTCCCAGGAGCTGCTGTTGATGCTGTTGTTCCAGCATGGGCTATATAGAATCAGACTATATTAGCAAGATCCAGTTCTGCCCCTTACAAATGAGAACCTAGGCAAGGTACCTAACATATCTACAAAATGGGGCCAATGATGGTAACTTGGGCTTCTTGCAACAATTGAGTGATCATAATAAATGTAAAGTGCTCAGAACAGTGTCTCAGCCATAATAACTGCCTAATGGATATGAGTCATTTTCATTCATTCATTCATTCATCAAACAGTTATGAATTGAGTACTTCCTTTGAGCCAGGTAATGTTTCAGGCACCAGAAGTACAGTGGTGAGTAAGTCAAAGGTTCTCCTCTCAATGAGCTTACATTCCACTGGGAAGGCATACAATAGATGACTTTGCAACATATAATCTAATGTCAACACAGGAGAACTCTACATTCCAAGTTAACGCAACAGCAGATGCACACAGAGTTTTATGATAAGTTGTTCTGGTCTTGTTTGAATCTTCCAGCTCAAAGAGGTGGCGGCATCATGCTTCTAATGCAAAGATCCTTAGAAGGATGGCTCTTACCATGAATGGCTTGTACCATGATGGTAAGGATGGCTGTAACCATCAGTAAGGGCAGGTTGTGGCATAGTTCCCCTAGCCAATCCTTTGGGTTTTGTTTGAAAGGACAAATTTGAAACCAGAACGGTTTGGGTGGAGAGTGTTAGGAGGGAAGGGAAGAGTAGGGTGGCAATGTGTTGGATGCTGCACATTTGTTCTTTCATTTAATCCTTACAACCATCCTTGAGTAAATATTACTGGATAAGAAGAGAAGCAACCTACCCAAGACTAAGTGGAAAAAGTGGCATCTCACCCCAAGAGTACCTAATGTTTGGCAAGGAGCAGAACCACTGAAGGGAGAACAAATCATGAACAAAGAGAGAAAGATCCAGAGTCCACATGGCCATCTTCAAAAGTTTGCCCTTGCCTTGCAACTTAAATTGCCTTTCTCGTGAGAAGCAAAAACATTTCAACGCACCATTTTCCTGGCATGTAGCTTTGGTCTACATGTTCACTGCACTGATTCTAACGGTTCTTTAGACTTTATAATTCTTTTTATTCTCCTGGAACACTTGAGGATCCAGGGACTTGCTTAGTTTTCTCTCCATAGGCCGTGTAAAGATTTGTAGAGTTGAACTGATTGAGGCAGGTCAATCAGATTTGTAGAGTTGAACTGATTGAGGCAGGTCTTCTGACACCCAAAGCAATGCTTTCTTGATGACTTCTCCTTTAGTTTCAAAAGCCACTGTATTAGTCCATTTTCACACTGCTATAAAGAAATACCCGAGACCGGGTAATTTATAAAGGAAAAAGATTTAATTGACTCACAGTTCCACATGGCTGGGGAGGCCTCAGGAAACTTACAATCATGCTGGAAGGCGAAGGGGAAGCAGGCACCTTCTTCACAAGGAGGCAGGAGAGAGAAGAAAGAGCGAAGCAGGAAAAGCTCTTTATCAGACCATCAGATCTCGTGAGAACTCACTATCACAAGAACAGCATGGGGGAAACCGCCCCCATGATCCACTCACCTCCCTCCCTCGACACCTGGGGATTACAATTCAAGATGAGATTTGGGTGGAGAAACAGAGCCAAACCATATCAGCCACCCTTTAGGATTTTAAAACCCCAGTGTAAAGCCTCCCTCTCAGTAATTAGATCATTGGTGAGGAGGGTACAGCACCATTTATTTCTTTAGTAATCGCTCATAATTTTGCTTAGTTATCGTATCAGTTGTTTTCTAGAATTGTATCAGCTGTTTTCCTTTACACACCCATCACTTGTATTTTATGCCTTTTAACAAACAGGAGTGGGCTGGGTGTGGTGGCTCACGCCAATAATCCCAGCACTTTAGGAGGTCCAAGGCAGGCAGATCACCTGAGCCCGGGAGTTAGAGACTGTAGTGAGCCATGATCGTGCCACTGTACTCCAGCCTGGGTGACAGAGTGAGACCTTCTCTCAAAAACAAAACCAAACCGTAGGAGTGTTCAGAGACCCCAGAATTTGGCAATACATGACAAATATTTAATGTGTTTCTGTGACTTTAATTCAGAAGCATCTATATCTCACCTCAGCATGTGTCAGCAAGTTAATTGTAAACATGTGCTGATTTTTAGCTTTAGTATTAAAAAAAAAACAAACTTGTTAATCACTTATGATTCCTTTCCTGGAGATAAAAATGAATAAAACCAGTTTTATCTTAAAAGAAAGAAAGAAAATTTTTAAAATTACATGCTAATGATCTAAGCCCCCAGTGTTAAAGTTTCCTGGGAGAAAGCAGAGTAGGGGCTCTGTCACATCACAAGCCCTAGCTGATCCCCTTCATCGAGGTCCCCAGGCAGGGGCTAGGGTGAAGCCATAACTGCCATCATATACTTGCCACTGTCCCTCTGCTGTGTTCCTGAAGCAGGTGACAGTGATGTAATCCAATGCAAGGAGTACTGCTACCTCCTAATCAGAACACTGCTGACTCCAGGCCAGCCTCAAAAATCCTCCCAGGATTTTTGTCTTCCTCATCATGTTAAAAGAAAAAAAAAAGCCGGGTGCGGTGGCTCACACCTGTAATCCCAGCACTTTGGGAGGCCGAGGCGGGTGGATCACGAGGGTCAGGAGATTAAGACCATACTGGCTAACATGGTGAAAACCCGTCTCTACTAAAAATACAAAAAATGAGCTGTGCATGGTGGTGGGCACCTGTAGTCCCAGCTCCTTGGGAGGCTGAGGCAGGAGAATGGTGTGAACCCGGGAGGCAGAGGTTGCAGTGAGCCGAGATCGCCGCTGTACTCCAGCCTGGGCAACAGAGCGAGATTCCGTCTCAAAAAAAAAAAAAAAAAAAAAGACTTCAGTATGGATGCTTTGCATGCTCATTGCTGGAAAATACAGACCAGGCCAGGCATGGTGGCTCACGCCTGTAATCCCAGCACTTTGGGAGGCTGAGACAGGTGGATCACTTGAGGTCAGGAGTTCGAAACCAGCCTGTCCAACATGGTGAAATCCCGTCTCTACTAAAAATACAAAAATTAGCCAGGCGTGGTGGCACGCACCTGTACTCCCAGCTACTCCGGAGGCTGAGGCAGAGAATCGCTTGAACCTGGGAGGCAGAGGTTGCAGTGAGTCAAGATCGTGCCACTGTACTCCAGCTTTCGTGACAAAGCGAGACTCCAAAAAAAGAAAAGAAAATACAGACCGATAAAAAAGAAGAAAATAAAAGCGATCTAGAATTCTCCTCGCTTCAGGAAAAAAACTAAAATGTTGATATCGATTCTCCTCAGTATCTCAGATCACAGAGACCCTGTCCTCTGTGTTCATGAACTAGATCCTTCCAGCGACACAGATTAACCCAACTGGAAGTTTCTGTTTGTTTTTCTCTGGAGATGTTTTCTGGAGGTTGGTTCTCCAAATTTTGTTGGGTGAGGGACACGGATTCTGGAGACAGGTAGGTTGCAGTTGTGTTTGTTTGGGGTTGTTTTCGTTTCCAAACATTCACCTCCCAGCTTTGGGGCCGAGAGGTATGGCGAGCCTTTTTTCACAAGGGCGTCTGTATTCAAGACCCAACCGTGTTACTCCGGGCTGTTTTTTTCTTAGATTCTTTTTTTTTTTTTTTTTTTTTAGCCCCGGCAGCTTTTGTTCCTTTGAACGTAAGGGTTTGAAGCTTGGCGATGGAGGAATTGGCTTTGGCCGTGCGATCTTAATATGTAATGATGACTGGGGCTGCAGGGGGCCCTGCCTTTCCCGCTTCCCTGCTCTGAAAGCGCCTGGGTATCTAAGAGCTCAGAGCAGGCTGGAGGGGCGGAGCTTGGAGGAAGGCCGGCGGCCCGCGCCTCCCGGTAACCTAGCAACCGGCGCCCTAGCAACGCGAGGGGGCGGGACCGAGGGAGGAAGTCGGAAACTGGTGGCTACGGCTCGCGAGAGTTGCTTTTGCGCGCGAACTCTAAGTGCCAGGGTCGAACTCAGGGCCGGGTCGCGGCTGGTCACTGGACAGGGACTTGGGTGACGCGACGATCTCAGCTGATCTGGTCACCTTCGTCTCCCCGCCATGGAGACCTCAGCGCTCAAGCAGCAGGAGCTGCCCGCGGCGGCCAAGATCAGGAACCTGCCCTGGTAGGAAGAAGCCGAGCGGCGGCTGTGGGCAGAGGGGGCCGGGCAGCCGCGCGGGGAGGAGGTGGCTGGAGTGGGCAGGTGATCGGACCCCAACCCGACCTCTTCCCGTCTCCCCCGGGCCTGCAGCCGGGACCGAGCCGCAAAGGTTTTCTCCGACACCCCCCAGCTCCCCAGACTCGTCCGTCTGTTTAGGACTTTTGCCAGCTGTCACCCTTTGACGCCCAGCTCCATTTGCCGAAGAAGAAGTCGGCTTTCGCACCTGGTGACAGCACAGGGGTTCGATTCCGTGTCTCCTGACACCTGCAATGGCCTCCATGCCAAAGTGCCCTCTTCCCACTCTTCAAAACCTGCGATGCGACTACTGGTCACATTTTAAATTAGTAATAAGGCTCCCTGGTCAACTTTTATTGGATGGCATATTATTAGATTAGCAGACGCCCTGTTAGATGTTCGATCCTTACAAAGACCGTAAGAGGTAGGCACCGCTTCAAATTTTACACAGGAGGAAACTGCATTTTAGAAGGGTTAAATGACTTCCCTATGGTCCAAGGCTAAAAAATTGGCTTGGAGGTGAATCTAGGAAGTCTGAATTCAGAGCTTGTACTCTTAACCATCCTACTTCAACAACTGTGTTCTAGCAATGCTTTCAAGACTTTGAAGCAATTTGGCTTGGCTTCGAAAAGCTCCAAGTTGTCATTGTCTAGTAACTAGTTTAAAAAAATTTGTTTTTTTGAGACGGAGTCTCCCTCTGTTGCTGGAGTGCAGTGGCGCGATCTCAGCTCCCTGCAACCTCCGCCTCCTGGATTCAAGCAGTTCCCTACCTCAGCCTCCTGAGTAGCTGGGATTACAGAAGCCTGCCACCACGCCCGGCTAATTTTTGTATTTTTAGTAGAGACGAGGTTTCACCGTATTGTCCAGGCTGGTCTTGAACTCCAGACCTCGTGATCCACCCGCCTCGGCCTCCCAAAGTGCTGGGATTACAGGCTTGAGCCACCGTGGCCGGCCAATTTGTTTTTATTGTGGTTAAAAAAACCCAGAAGATTGACAGTTGTAACTATTTCATGTATTTACATATTTTTTTTTTTAGAGACAGGGTCTTGCTCTGTCGCCCAGGCTGGAGTGCAGTGGCGTGATTACAGCTCAGTGTCACCTCAAACATTGGAGTTCAAGCCATTCTCCTGCCTCAGCCTCCAAAAAACTGGGACTTTTGGAGGCGAGCTACCAAGCCCATCCTGTAACCATTTTAAAATGTACAATTCAGCGGCATTAAGTACATTCAGAATGCAGTGGACTGTTGTGGAGTCTTCCCACTATCTAGTTCCAAAATTTCATCACCCCAAATAGAAATCCTGTGCCCATTGACAGTTACTCCCCATTCTCCCCTTCCTCTAGCCCCTGGCAACCACTAATCTACTTTCTGTCTCTATGGATTTGCCTATTCTGGACATTTCATGTAAGTGGAATCCTACACTATGTGGCCTTTTGTGTCTGGTTTCTTTCACTCAGCATCATGTTTTCAAGGTTCATGCATGTTGCTGCTTGCATCAGTAGTTCATTTCTTGTTATGGCTGAATCATATTCTATTGTGTGGACAGAAGAGGTTTTACCTATCCATTCTTCTGTTGAAGGCTATTTGGGTAGGAGTTCAGTTTCAAATGCACTTTGAAATAGTAGGTGCCCATCAGGTTGAGATTATAGACAAACAGCTGGAAAGATGAAATTAGAACAGAGTTCATCCTTGGCACTATTGACATTTTGGGCAAGATACTCTGGGTGGGTTTGGGGGAGCTGTCCTGTGCACTGTAGCATGTTTAACAGCATTCCTAGAGATTACACACTAAGTGCCATAGGACCCTCCGCTCACCTGTGACAACTAAATATGTTTCCAGATATCACGAGATGTTCCTGGGAGGACAAAATCACCCCTGGTTGAGAACCACTGGTCTGTGTTCAAACTTAAAGTGCTTTGTTTTTCTTGCTTTTTAAATTAGGATATGAAAGGATTCTTTTTTTTTTTTTTTTTTGATACAGGGTCTCACTCTGTCGCCCAGGCTGGAATGCTGGAGTGCAGTGGTGCAGTCTCGGTTCACTGCAACCTCCGCCTCCCAGGTTCAAGCAGTTCTCCCATCTCAGCCTCCTGAGTAGGTGGGGCTGCATTGGTATGCCACCATACCCAGCTAATTTTTGTATTTTTGGGTATTTTTTATTGAATGGCATATTATTGGGTTAGCAGACGCCCTGTTAGATGTTCGATCTTTACAAAGACCCTAGGAGGTGGCCATAGAGACAGGGTTTTTTCATGTTGGTCGGTCTGGTTGGTCTTGAACTCCTGACCCCAAATGATCCACCCGCCTCGGCCTCCCAAAGTGGTGGGATTACAGGTGTAAGCCGCTGTGCCTGACCTGCAAGGATTCTTTTACACATAAAATATTCTTGCATGTATATATGTCATAATACATACTAAATTGTATTTCAGGGTTGAAAAATACCGGCCACAGACCCTGAATGATCTCATTTCTCATCAGGACATTCTGAGTACCAGTAAGTATCCATGTGTCAGTTGCTCTTGTCCTGAGCTTGGTAGAATGTGGCTTTAAGATCATTCATTCATCTTCTTCAGATAGCTGCAGTCTAGTGGGTAAGTCACGAACATGAGCATAAAATTGCAACTCAGTGGAGTAAAAATAGCATTACAGCGAATCATTTAAGTTTACAGATGTTGTCAGCACCCAGAAAGGTGCCTGTAACACAGTAGGCCCTCAATAAATACTTGCTGGCTGGCTGCACTATTGAGTGAATTCCAGTTGCCCCAGGAACGCAGAGACAAGGCCCCTACATCAAGTTGCATCTGCCTCTGATTTGGACATTGCATTGGGTTGAAGAGCTTTCAGCCCAACTCAGGGGCCCAGGGTGAATGAGGCGGCTCCCAAAGACTGATGGTGCCCTTCTTCCTTCCTGATCCTCAGTTCAGAAGTTTATCAGTGAAGACCGACTGCCACACTTGCTTCTCTATGGTCCCCCAGGGACAGGCAAGACATCTACCATCCTAGCCTGTGCGAAACAGCTGTATAAAGACAAAGAATTTGGCTCCATGGTCTTGGAGGTAAATACAATTGTTCTTACTCCACAAATAACTTAGGACTCCAGTCTCTGAATTTCAGTTCTGCTGGCTTTATTTTACTTTAAAAGTAAGTTGCCCCATGGACAGTTAGGAAAGAAGTAAATTCAAAATAAGATATTTTAATTCCCTTTTTCCTATAATGGTCATTTTAGTCTGGATTAGTGTTGGTCAGCTAGAGGGCAGTTGTAGGGCTAGGCACCTTTTTCTTTGCTGTTGCCAACTTCTACCCAAACCCTCCTTTATGGTTACTTGGTTGCTGCCTGTCTGCCATGGCCCCTCCAGATCAATTCTCCACGTCTCTCCACCCTATTCCTGCCTGGAAGGCTGAGCTCTACTGACTATAAGCTTACTTACCCTCTGGCTCCTGGTTGGGTTTGGCCAATAGAGGCCTTGGCAGGGGTAGGGGAAGGAAGTGAGTGATGCCGGGACCTTCCCTGAGGGCTGACAGGCTGGCAGCATGGCCCATCTGTAGGGTACATCTCACAGGTGGTACCTTTCCTGCAGCCCTCTCCAGGTGCCTACAGCCACTCCCTTCACTAACCCCTTCAGGCTTAAGGGTCACGGGTATTGCATAGCCCCATGGTTTTCCTATTATCGCACCTTTAAAAAGATCTCCTTGTTTAATTCTCTTCAAATTGCTGCGTTTGAGTATGCCATCTGTATATTGCTGCGACCTTGACTAACATACTTAAGATTCAAAAATGTGAATATTGTCTATTGCAAGAAAAGTTTAATTTACCTTTTAGACGCGGGTCTCAGAACTTTGCTGCTACTAATGTCCTTATGTCAGTTTATTAAGAACTTGGTAACCTTGGGATTGTGGTAGCTGAAATTTGTATCATTCTGCTCATACCGGAGGTGCTATTCAGTGTAACCATACCAATTAATTATTTCTCCAGCTTATGTCAGTCATTGTCCTCAAACGGTGGGGGTAATATAGCCATCTTTATTGATTTAGTGAGTTTTGTGTAAAACTGATTTTTTATTTTGTGATGATCTCTTAGCCATCATTAGACATAGAAAGCTAACCTGCTGAGCTGGACTGATGAGGAGATACATAAAAACCAAGAACTCACAGATAGCATAGCAACATGCTTTTTGTTTTGACTTCTGTCTTCCACGTTTAGCTGAACGCTTCAGATGACCGAGGAATAGACATCGTTCGAGGACCAATCCTGAGCTTTGCTAGCACAAGGACAATATTTAAGTAAGAATTATTTGTGTAATTTCGCTCCCTTGATTTTGATTAGTAAGATGACATGGCTTAATTTTTTAATCCTCTCCTTAGCCAGTTTATATGGGTTGAAAAAAAATACTGACTTTGTCCAAAGCAACCATGGAAAAGAGATAAAGGAGAGGATGGTAGTAAGAAGTATTATAATGCAACTGCTAAAATAAAATGTTGTCTACACTTGTATTAGCAAGTTCTTTTTTTTTTTCCCCCTTTTTTTTTTGGAGACAGGATCGCCCTCTATGGTACAGGCTGGAGTGCAATAGCATGATCTCGGCTCACTGCAACCTCCACCTCCTGGGTTCAAGCGATCCTCTAGCCTCAACCTCCTGAGTAGCTGGGACTACAGTCGTGAGCCATCACGCCCAACTAATTTTTGTATTTTTTAGTAGACATGGGGTTTTGCCATGTTGCGTTGGCTGGTCTCGAACTCCTGAGCTCAAGCAATTTGCCTGCTGCATCCTCCCTGAGTGCTGGGATTACAGACGTGAGCCCAGCCTGTATTACCAAGTTCTTTAGGGAAGCATTCTTCATTTTTAGTTCCTGAGAACTGGTTAGATTACCCTAAGCCTGGATGAGCTAGTTTGAATTTTAAAATAAATTGAGATCAGGAAAGACAACTAGGATGGTGGCTAAAAAAAAAAAAAAAAAAAGAAAGAAAAAGGGTGAGGGCCAGGAACAGTGGCTCACACCTGTAATCCTAGCACTTTGGGAGGTCTAGGCAGGTGGATCACCTGAGGTCAAGAGTTCAAGACTAGTATGGCCAACATAGTGAAACCTCGTCTCTACTAAAAATACAAAAATTATCTGAGCATGGTGGTGGGCGCCCGTAATCCCAGCCACTCGGGAGGCTGAGGCAGGAGAATTGCTTGAACCTGGGAGGCAGAGGTTGCAGTGAGCCGAGATTGCGGCACTATACTCCAACCTGGGCAACAGAGCAAAAACTTCGTCTCAAAAAAAGCGAAAGGGTGAGAGACTCTGGTGTGAGTGAGGGAGATGGGGAAAGCAGTAGCATGGTAGGGTGGTACGTGGAGGAAAGTGAAGATGCCAGAGGACACAGCGCATAGAAGTAGAGAAGTCAGTCCTCCATTCCCACCAAGTGTTGAAGGAGTGATGGGGCATTTCCTCTCTGAGTGACCAAAGATGTCTGTCTTGGCCAAAGTTCTAGAAGAAATAGCCTTTCCGAGACAGGACCCGATGGCACAAATGGGAAGATGTAGGTTTGAGCCCCGATGTTGAGGTGAGATTGAAGAAATCTTTAGACAGCACCATTTGTTTTTCTAGGAAAGGCTTTAAGCTAGTGATCTTGGATGAAGCAGATGCCATGACTCAGGACGCCCAGAATGCCTTGAGAAGAGGTAAGCAGAGGCACTGTGGAGTGTGTGGGCTGGTGCGCGCACTAGAAGGAGAATTAGGAACTTCGTGTTTGTTGCTGTTGTTATTGTTTTTTTTGGGGGGGGGAGGGGATGGTTTTGAGTCAGTCTTGCTCTGTCGCCAAGGGTGGAGTACAGTGGCGCGATCTCGGCTCACTGCAGCCTCTGCCTCCTGGGTTCAAGCGACTCTCCGACCTCAGCCTCTCAAGTAACTGGGATTACAGGCATGCACCACCACAGCCGGCTGATTTTTATATTTTTAGGAGAGATGGGATTTCACCATGTTGGCCAGGCTGGTCTCGAACTCCTGACCTTGGGTGATCCGCCCACCTCGGCCTCCCAAAGTGCTGGGATTACAGGAGAATTAGGAACTTTGGACATGAGATATGGCATGACTTGTTTTCAGTTTTCATCTTCTGGCCCAGAGAAATCTCTATGCCTTTCTGTGTGTCTCCCATCTGATGATACAGGCAAGATACCTCTGCAGTGGGACCTTCCCCTTCAGCAGCCTAAGGACTAAGCCCTGCGGGGACTTTTAAGTCTGGCCAGTCACTGGTGTTCAACCTCCTTTGACACTGGGTTCAATTTCAGGGTTGAGAATTCATATCTTTCCATGGGATGGGGTGTGGAAAATCTTTCATCCCTAAACTATCGGATAGTCCTTTCTGCTAATAGTACCCTTTCCTTTCTGCTAATGGTACCCTTTGAACCACAATAGCTAGGAGAAGAATATCTGAAGTTGAGGTGCTCAGAGAGCTGACATTACTTCACTGCTTGCCAAGTGAATGATTTGGCGGGGGGAGGGAGAGCACCCTGCGATTTGTCTGTCTTCGGGGGCCCAGTGCAGTTCTTTTCCCTTAAAGGACACTTGTCATCTCTCATTAAGATTCCAAGTGAATCAGCTTTGAGAGAAGAACGATCTTTAGGAGCTTGTGGGGAGGGAGGAGATGGCAGCACATGTTTAAGGAAAGGACGGGGGAAGGTGGGGGGAAGAGGAGCGGGTGAGGAGGAGAAGGGGGAGGAGAAAGGGAGGAGGAGGGTAGGGGGAGGTGGAGGAGAAGGGTAGGGGCAGGTGGAGGAGGAGAAGAGGGGGTGGAGAAGGAGAGGAGGGGGAGGAGAAGGAGGACGAGGCAGAGGAGGAGGAGGTTGAGGAGGACAGTGAGAATCTCTCTGGTCCTAGAAGCTTGGCAGCCTTTCTTCGGCATCTTGTTCTGCCGAGTGACTGTCATTCTGGGCAGATCCCCATGTAAGAACATTGGGTACCTACAGAATGGAACTGGTGTCATAAGCAACTCTTTGTTCGGGTTATTGCTCCCTTGAGTGCTCTGAGGCCTCCAGACAGTCTCCATGGAAAAGTCTGCAAAAAGCCGTCCCCCTCCCTGCCCATAGAAGGTGAAGAATCATCAACCTGCCAAATATAATTTTATGTAAAAGGACAAGAAGAGGTCTCATAATCTTAATGGGATTACATGGCAAAAGTGCCAGAATCATGGTAAATGGCAAAAAGGAAGCATTTTGTAAAATTCCACGGAGGCATGTTTACCAGTTTGTGAAAGAGGAGTGGCTAGGCCGGGTGCGGTGGCTCATGCCTGTAATCCCAGCACATTGGGAGGCTGAGGCGGGCAGATCACTTGAGGTCAGGAGTTTGAGACCCGCCTGGCTAACATGATGAAACTCTGTCTCTACTAAAAATACAAAAATTGGCCTGGCGCAGTGACTCATGCCTGTAATCCCAGCACTTTGGGAGGCCGAGGCGGGCGAATCATAAGGTCAGGAGATCGAGACCATCCTGGCTAACATGGTGAAACCCCGTCTCTATTAAAAATACAAAAAATTAGCTGGTGTGGTGGCACGCGCCTGTGGTCCCAGCTACTCGGGAGGCTGAGGCAGGAGAATCGCTTGAACCCGGGAGGCAGCGGTTGCAGTGAGCCAAGATCGCGCCATTGCACTCCAGCCTGGGTGACAGAGCGAGACTCTGTTTAAAAAAAAAAAAAAAAAGAGGAGTGACTAACCTCTGATCTGAAGAGGACAGAGCTGCCCTGTCTTGTTGCCGGCTGCATCTTCATTTGTTTACATTCTTTCTTTTTTGAGACAGAGTCTCACTCTGTTGCCCACGCTGGAGAGCAGTGGAATGATTTTGGGTCACTGCAACCTGCACCTCCTGGATTCTAGCAATTCTCCTGCCTCAGCCTCCCAAGTAGCTGGGATTACAGGCACGTGCCACCACACCTGGCTAAATTTTGTATTTTCAGTAGAGGTTTTGCCATGTTGGCCAGGCTGGTCTCGAACTCCTGACCTCAAGTGATCCTCCCGCCTCAGCCTCCCAAAGTGCTGGGATTACAGACGTGAGCCACTGCGGCCGGCCAACATCCTCACTTGTTTGCAGTCTTGAATCTTTTCCTATACCCTTGTGACAACAGAAAAATTCAAGTTTTCTGGACTCTGAAAAATCAGAATGGAGTTTGACATGAGGTGGTTTTATTTTCTCTTACCAGTAATTGAGAAATTCACAGAGAATACCAGATTCTGCCTCATCTGTAACTATCTGTCAAAGATCATCCCTGCCTTGCAGTCCCGCTGCACGAGGTTTCGGTTCGGTCCCCTGACTCCTGAACTCATGGTTCCCCGCCTGGAACATGTCGTGGAAGAAGAGAAGTGAGTATTTTGCGGGTCTTTGGGGATGCAGTGTAGTAGAAACAGGCTTGTGGGATGACTGATGGTTCGTATGTAGAGGAGAGGATGTTGGAAAACGACTTTGCTGAGTGCCTAGCACAGGGGAGGCACTGGGGAGCGTCTACTGCTATCATTTTCTCTGCTGTCTCAAGGCCATTCCTCATAAAAGTCTTTTGGTACTTCATTTTTCTTGATTCCATCCTCCTCCCCTGGAAGCTGCCCAATTTCCTCCTACTCTTCTTTGTCATTGGAAACTGCAGGCTGCTGAGTCCCTTCTGCAAAGATGCTTCCAGCCTTTTTAGACTAGAAGGGAAGGTTCTGAGACATCACATTCTGTGTAATCAGATGCCAAACAAGTAGCCGACCTGAGCAGCTGCTTGTTGTAAAGGAGGAGTTTGGGCTGTGTGATCATGGCTTGTGCCAGGCCTCTGCTCCCCAGAGAGCAGAATTCAAGGCGACTGGCTCCATGGGAGAATGCTTGTTCCTAAATGCAGGCTGTTCTCGTTTTGGTTGGCTGTGAGTACTAATGTGAAGCCCAGGTCCCTAAAAACCAGAGTGAATTCTAGATCAGATAGATCATGAGATTATTAACTCTGTTCCTCTCTTTCCTTCATTCCTTTAAAGCCTTAATCATTCCAGACCATCTTGTTCCTTTGGTGAATGCTAGTGCTCTCAGGGGACCTCATAAATCCCTTCTGCTTATTTCTTTCAGAGTTGATATAAGTGAAGATGGAATGAAAGCACTAGTCACTCTTTCCAGCGGAGACATGCGCAGGGCTCTGAACATTTTGCAGGTATGGTCTCAGCAAATCCTTTTGTTTTTGAGACAGAGTCTTGCTCTGTCGCCCAGGCTGCAGTGTAGCAGCACAATCTCAGCTCAGTGCAACCTCCGCTTCCTGGGTTCAAGCGAATACCCTGCCTCCTGAGCAGCTGGGATTACAGGCGCCCACTACCACGCCCTGCTAATTTTTGTATTTTTAGTAGAGATAGTGTTTCGCGCCCTGCTAATTTTTGTATTTTTAGTAGAGATAGTGTTTCGCCATGCTGGCTAGGCTGGTCTCGAACTCCTGACCTCAAGTGATCCGTCCGCCTCGGCTTCCTAAAGTGCTGGGATTACAGGCGTGAGCCACCGTGCCCGGCCTGGTCCCAGCAAATCCTGAGTCATTGTTTTGTCATAGTTTTTTAAGAAAGACCTAAGCAAAGGCATGATCAATCTGTACATTTAGAAATCTACAACTGGTAAGACCTTGATCTCATAACCTGCTGGATTTCCCCCTCCTCACTTTGTATTTTGATTAATTGAAAAAATCACTTGTTGCAGGGCCAGGTATGGTGGCTCACGCCTGTAACCCCAGCACTTAGGGAGGCCAAGGCAGGTGGATCACCTGAGCCCAGGAGCTGGAGCCCAGCCTGGGCAACATGGTGAGACTCTGTCTCCACTAAAAAAAACATGAGCCAGCTGTGGTGGTACATGCCTGTAGTCCCATCTACTCAGGAGGCTGAGGCAGGAGGGTGACTTAAGCCTAAGAGGTCGAGACTGCAGTGAGCCGTGATCATGCCACTGTACTCCAGCCTGGGCAACAGAGCAAGACCCTGTCTCAAAAAACAAAGAGCAAAAGAAAATGTTTTAAAAACAAAAGGAGTCATTTGTTGGCAAAGAAGGCAAAGGGAGAAAAGGATTTGGCACTGGAATAGCCAACAGGCTGTGGCGTCCTCTGATGAGGGGACTCTTCCCGGTGTAGAACGTGTGGGTTCTAACTGCTTTATGCCCATGGAACTTTGCTGCCCACCTGTATTGCTGCCTTGGCAATTGCTTCTTGGCTCCCTGCAGCTTGGTGGCTGCTGTGACAGCCACTGTGATCTCCCCCTTCCCCCTCTCTGCACAGAGCACCAATATGGCCTTTGGGAAGGTGACAGAGGAGACTGTCTACACCTGCACCGGGCACCCGCTCAAGTCAGATATCGCCAACATCCTGGACTGGATGTTGAATCAAGATTTCACCACAGCCTACAGAAGTATCCTTTCTCATAACCTCCTGGCCAACGAGACCTGAAGTTGGCCCCAGGAGTTCAGGCTGCAGCCAGCACCCACACCTTGCTGGCAAAGCACAACTGGCTGCAGGCGACTCTGGTCAGCTTGTTGTGGGAGTGAGATGTCTGTAGGTGGAGTGCGTACTTGTCTTTAGCACTCCAGAGTTCTCCTTGGGGGGCGCTGACCTTCAAGTCAGGGTAAGGCTTGAAGCAGCTTCACTCCCAGATGGGAGAAAAGCTTAGGCCTTGGCATCGAAGATGCAGTAATTTTCAAGTGGTCAGTGATAGTGATAGCTCTTGTGCTGTGAAATTAAAGGCTGGGAATGGTGATACGAAGCCTTTTTGAAAATGCATTTGGGGCTGGGTGTGGTGGCTCATGCCTGTAATCCCAGCACTTTTGGAGGCTGAGGCAGGTAGATCACTTGGGGTCAGGAGTTCCAGACCAGCCTGGCCAACATGGCGAAACACTGTCTCTACTAAAAATACAGAAATTAGCCGGGCGTGGTGGTGGGTGCCTATAGTTCCAGCTACTCGGGAGGCTGAGGCAGGAGAATTCCTTGAACCCAGGAGGCAGAGGTTGCAGTGAGCCGAGGTCGTGCCACTGTACTCCAGCCTGGGTGACAGAGGAAGACTCCATCTCAAAAAAAAAAAAAAAGAAAGAAAAATAAAATGTAGTTGGCTTTATTCTCTACTAGAAGGAGGTACAACTCTATCTTTCAGAAAGCCCTTACTGAAGATGAAACAAAGAAAAATAAAGAATTGGAGTCCAACACGTGCAGCTTCAAGATGAAAGAGAAACAGTTGTTGGGATTAAAAGTCCTACTTTAAAAAGTCACTTGCCAGGGTTTGGATTCAAAATTCTCTGCAGTATGTTTGTTCTGGAACTTGTTCCCTTTGCCTTAACTGCTCCTCTAGATATTACAGAGTTGAAAACTCTGAAGGGGTTGGCACTGCATGATATCCTGACAGAGATACACTTGTTTGTGCATAGAGGTAACTGACATTAGACCCCAGCTGAGAAGCTGTGGAGAAGGTAGCCTGCTTTGGGGTTAAGGATGGTTAGGACAGGAGGCTTCATTCTTGAAGCAAAGAAACTAATGAAGTGTAAATCAGACCCCTTCTTGTTAGCAGTTCTGTCTTGCCACTGTTTAAAATTTTGTTCCAGAGCTGGGTAGGGTGGCTCAAGCCTGTAATCCTAGTACTTTGGGAGGCCGAAGCAGGCAGATCACCTGAGGTCAGGAGTTCAAGACCAGCCTGGGCAACATGGTGAAACCCCATCTCTACTAAAAATATGAAAAATTAGCCGGGTGTGGTGGCACACGCCTGTAATCCCAGCTACTTGGGAGGTTGAGGTGGGAGAATCATTTGAACCTGGGAGGTGGAGGTTGCAGTGAGCCAAGATTTGCCACTGCACTCTAGCCTGGGCAACAGAGCTAGAGTTTGTCTCAAAAAAAAAAAAAAAACTGTTCCATAAACCCTCTTTTAATATCTAGAACTGCTGGGGAGAGTGAAAACTCCTGGAGGCTAACTTTATTTCCTCTAGGGGTTTGTATTTTCTAGCAGTAAGTAGTATATATTAATTCACATTTCTAAAAAAAACAAAACACAGTCTCTATCTATATCTGTGTATCTGTCTAGATATATATTCCCAGAAAATAAAGAGAAAATATGTAAACATGTAAACCAAAGCAGGCTTAAGGAAAACATCTTCAGTTCCACACTTGCCTGTACCTTCTACACGGAGAACTGGTTCTCAACCTTGGCAGCAGATAGGGGCACTCCAGACAAATTAAGTCAGCTTCTCGGAGGAGAACCAGGCATCCGTATTCTCTAAGCTCCCCAGGTGACTTGTGTAGGCTTTCGGAGAAGCTCTTCCCTCCACAGTGGCCAACTGCGGATGGAGACTTAACTGGGTCAATGAATGTTGGTTCTGCCCAGGCCTTCACAGACCTCTTCCTGGCTGGCCCATGCCATGCCTTCTGCCCAAAGTATGGTTGGCTCAGGCCCTGCTCTGCACCTTGATTGTGGAAGCTGAGCATAAACCAACTTTTAAAAAAATCTGTTGTTTGTGCTTGGTTTTTAAATGGGGACAGGCTGGGTATGATGGCTGACGCCTGTAATCCCAACACTTTGGGAGGTCGAAATGGGCAGATCATTTGAGCCCAGGAGTTCGAGACCAGTCTGGGCAATATGGTGAAACCCCATCTCTACAAAAAATACAAACTAGCCAGGCATGGTGGTGCACATCTGTAGCCTCAGTTACTCAAGAGTCTGAGGTGGAGGATCCCTCAAGCCCAGGAGGTCAAGGCTGCCGTGAGTCATGATCACACCATGCCACAGCACTCCAGCCTGGGCAACAAAGCAAGACCCCCTCTCAAAATAAAGTAAAATACAGAATAAAAACAGCAAGTGGGAACTCAGCATTCAGGTTAACTTGTAGAGCTACCCAGCTGCTAAGAACGGTGTGATCTTTGGTGTTCTCAGGATCACTTTGGTATCTGCTCATTTTCCTTTTTGACTACCCTATAAAGAAGCACAAAATCGAGTGGGTTAAAAGTATGAAACCAGCACCGTTTTTACTCTTAGAGGTGTGGTATCTAGTGAGCAGGCTGAGGCCTCGGGACTAGTTCAGTATTAAGGATTTGATGTTGAAACTCATTTGTCCTCTGTGGGTTTTTTGACAGTAGAGAGTGACAGACCTAACTTGTTTGATTTTGTTTTTCCCTCAGTTGACTTTCCGTCTTCAGTTCGAATACATTTATTGACCAAAATGGCAGACATTGAGTGAGTACTTCTCCCAGTTTTCAGTTTTCATTCTTTTCCTCCTTTTTCTCCCTGTTGTGAGTTGTTTCAACTTTCTTGGTTTCAGTTTTTTTTTTTCCTAAATCGTTCACATCCAGTAGAATCCAGTCTGGTGATATTTAATGGAATGTGGGGAAGGGTGAGCTCCTTAAAGAACACGGGGATAAACTCACAGGTCAAGTACAGATCACTTACATATCTGACATGAAGGCCTTTCCTTGGACCTCACAGGCTCGGCCCACATTGATTCTGAAAATGCCCTTGTTATTTGGGAGGCCTGCTTCGCTTCAACCACCCAGCTGTTATGAAGGCATTTTGGCATACTAAAGCATATTGGGGGGAAAAGTAAACACAAACTCAATTTTCTGCTTTGCCTGGTTCCGTAAACACTGTTATTAGCCCCCAGCGAAGCTGGCAGCTATCATTTAAGTAGACAGCATTGGGTTCAACAGAGACGTCAGCATAGGCCAACTAATTTGTGGCATTGGCTTTCACAGGCACAAATTAGGTCACCTCTCTTCATTGCATTGTGAATATGACGATTTTGCTCTCAGTGGCTGGGCATTTAAAAGGTGGCAAGAGGAACTCCAGTGTCCTGCTTTACTGACTAGACCACAGACCCACCAATATATCAGCCAAACTTCCCAGTGAAATGGCTTAATTAAGAGGAAGGAAATCTCCGTTTTGTTTCCCTCTTAATGTATTTTGCCGACAAAATAATCCTTCATAACATGAATTTTGTATATCTGTATAGTTAGGACAAAGTTAAGTTCAGAACACCACTGTTGATACCTAATACTTTATTTCTTTTTTTTGAGACAGAGTCTCGCTCTGTTGCCCAGGCTGGAGTACAGTGATGCAACCTCTGCCTCCCAGGTTCAAGCCATTGTCCTGCCTCAGCCTCCTGAGGAGCTGGGATTACAGGCATGCACTACCACGCCCGGCTAATTTTTGTTTTTTGTTTGTTTGTTTGTTTTGTAGATGGGGGTTTCACCATGTTGGCCAGGCTGGCCTCAAGTGATTGGCCCGCCTCCCAAAGTGCTGGGATTACAGGTGTGAACTACCGCGCCCGGTCTGATACCTAATAATTTTTAAAATTGAATCTGTTCTTATGAGTTTGAAACATCACATTTATAAATCAATGTGTAGGGCAAAGAAGAAAATGTTAGGGGGACACATACAAGATTGCCGTCCAGGGTAAATTTGTTTTATCACTTCCCATCCCCACTCCTTCAACAGATTTTCAGTCCTAGATCTCTTTTTCCCTTAAGAAAAGGCAGCTATGTGTGGTGTCTTTTTTCTTACCCTGTGTGTTTGCTTTCTGTTAGGTACAGGCTTTCTGTTGGCACCAATGAGAAGATCCAGCTGAGCTCCCTCATTGCTGCATTTCAAGTCACCAGAGACCTGATTGTTGCAGAGGCCTAGATGCTCCGAGGGCTGTTCACAATTCTCAGGGCTCTGCAGTGACGGAAGAACAGAGGACAGTTCCGGGATGAACTGCAGCCTGGGGTCGTGGGATGAACCAGTCACTCTAAATCTTGGAAAAACTCCTTTCCAGGACAGGATGGGCAGGCATTTTTAAAAGTACCATTTTTGTGGTGGTTTGGAGCAGAGATGTACAAAATAATTTTAATGTATAACTCATACTGCCCATCTTTTATAGGGGAAAAAAATAACCTTTTTTATTTTAAAGTTATAAGGCTTTTACCTTTTAGTTGCTTGGATGACAGGGAATTAGCCTACCCTATTTTGGTCTGGAACAGAAGACTTTCAAATCTAATATGGTCCAAGTGTCTTCCTACTCAAGGTAAACATCATCTCCAAAATTACATTTACGATTCTAATATTTGGCATTGTGTCTTTATCTAATTTAAACAGATGTTAACGAACGTCTGGCCAAAACTATTATACTTTTATAAGATGAGCTGAATTCTCTGACTTTAAAAACTGGTCTTTTTATTTACCCTTTGTGGTAGAAGAGTTACCAGCAGGTTCCAAATTGATGTGGATGATAGGAAAAAAATTTTAATTTTAAATATAATATAGAGCCTTAAACTATGCCATTGGGGGACAGAGGCTGTATAAAACACACTTGTTTTCATGCAGGAGAGGGGCAAGTAAGATTGAGCCTGACTGTAAACCTAGAACTGTGGGAGGACTGGGACTTTTGTACAAATTTCACATTTATTTTATAGCAATCATGCTGCATTTGTGTTAGTGTTCTTTTTTTTTTTTTTTTTTTTGAGACGGAGTCTCGCCCTGTAGCCCAGGCTGGAGTGCAGTGGCCAGATCTCAGCTCACTGCAAGCTCCGCCTCCCGGGTTCACGCCATTCTCCGGCCTCAGCCTCCCGAGTAGCTGGGACTACAGGCGCCCGCCACCTCGCCCGGCTAGTTTTTTGTATTTCTTAGTAGAGACGGGGTTTCACCGTGTTAGCCAGGATGGTCTCGATCTCCTGACCTCGTGATCCACCCGTCTCGGCCTCCCAAAGTGCTGGGATTACAGGCTTGAGCCACCGCGCCCGGCCAGTGTTCTTTATAATAAAAGACAAAGCAGCCTGCTGGCTGGCTGTGTTACAAGTGACTCTTCCTTAGACAGCTAGAAAGATGCTGACTTTGTCAAACTTGCATTTATATGAAAACCTTCCGTCTCTAATATCACAGAATAAACTTTCTTTGGATGCTGTTCTTTATATAAGTGTCAAATTCTTAAACTGTCTAACGGAAAAAGTCACTATTCCCTTTATTCGTGGAGGACTCAACTCCTTAAGGACAGTGGCAAAGTTTGAAGCTAAATCTGATGGCCAACTAGGCCTTAAACCACCCAGAGGCTCAGCCTCTGCTGTACCTGGAACTTCAAGATAACCATGAAATGCAAACGTTGGCCAGTTGGTTCCCAGCTCTTCCACTGTACTACTTGTTTTATCTGTTTATTTTTTGAGGCAAGATCATGCTGTGTCACGCAGGCTGGAATACTGTGACACGATCATGGCTCACTACAGCCTCCAAGTCCCAGGCTGGAGCAGTTCTCCCACCTCAACCTCCTGAGTAGCTAAAACCACAGAACCACAGGTACATGCCACCACATCCTCAGCCCCGAGTAGCTAGGGCTACCGTGCACACCACCACCACACTAAGTTTTTTGGCTATTTTTTTTTTTTAAATAAAGATTGGGTCCCGTCTCACTCTGTTGCCCAGGCTGATCTTGAACTCCTGGGCTCAAGCACTCCTCCCACCTCAGCCTCTCAAAGTGCTGGGATTACAGGCATGTGCCATCACACCCAGCCCTGCTTGTTTTAAAAGGGGACTTTTTTTTTCTTAATGGAAAAAAATGAAACAGAGCCAAAAGCTTTTTTTTTTTTCTTTCCTTCAATGAAAGCCTCTCATTTTGAAAAGACATGTTTTTCTTCAAGCAACAAAGGTGGTAGAGGAAATTCCTCAACTTTCTCAACAAGTCATGTAATGTTACACTGGCCTCCATAAAGCACCGATTAAGAAAGCTAAAGAATAAGATGTTGTATTTCTTTTAAAATAATTTAAAATATATTAAATTTTCCTAAGGCAGGTTTTGTTTGAATGAGGTGTCTTGATTAGATAACTACATGCCACTGAAGGAGAACAGTACTTTTAAGGAGCTATTTTTGTTTCGCAGTAGAGTTGAAACCAGCTGATTAATCCAATGAAGTTAAACAGCAGAGACAGATCTCGTACATAAAAGTATCAGCTAAAGTCATGACTACACCAAGTCTTTACACAATTAAGACATCTTTGCAACTGTTCAATTTAAGTACTACGGTTATTAGATAATCGAGAAAAACATAGTTGTACCTTAACATCTGTTGAGGTCTGGCCAAAACTATTGAGAAAATACAAATAAATATGATGATGATAAATGGCCACTGATAACTCAGTAGCCATCTGAATAGTCATGCAGTTTAAGAATACATCCTTGTATAATCTGACATACAAATTTGTCATCTCCTGCACATGCACACCATTGTTAAAAAAAAAAAAAAAAAGCCAATAATAGTGTCTCGATCAGTCAGGAGCACGGCCTCTGATTCCCCTGTAATTTAGTTAAGCTAAATTAATACCTCATACCAAATGGCTCCAGGAAAACTGTCCTGCAGGTCAGAAGGGAGCCCAAGAAGAAAAGCACTTGGCCAACATCGAAGCAACTCTGACCACAGCAGGAGAGAACTTGAACCAATGCTACCACTGCATCAGTAACACAAGGATAGGTACTAGGCAGAAGCCATCCTTCCCAGTGGAGGGAGTGTGAGCTGCTCTGCCACTAGAGAGGCTCTGGAGGCCTACTTACTTGTATAATCAAAACAACATCAGTAACTGCACTTTGAATCAAAACAACTAGAAAGAGTTCAACACTTGCTGTTTGTAACTGGACTGAAGATTTAAGGTAAAGCTCTGTTGCCATGCAAGTGGAATCTCTTCCTCTAAGACTGACTTTCACATGCCAGGGAGAGAAAGATCCATGACTAGTACACTGGAATCTGGTTTTGCTACATTCTATTCACAATCCCGAAGAAATGCTATTTGAATCCAAGACCAGATGTTTGGCCCATTATTCCAGCACCTCCCTTTAACAGGACGATCTACCCTGCTACAAAGAAACACAAGATGTGGCGTTGCTTAAAAAGTCCTGTATGTGAGGAACTCTTTCATTTTCTTGGGGATTGGCAGTGCTAGGACTTGGTAAGTTGTTAGGAAACTTCGAAGGGCTTTCCGGCATAAGTGCTTCAGTGAGGACAGCACCCGAGGAGCTGTCCAGAACTGGACGTGGCCATCTCTTGTCCTGAAATGAAACAAACCGATGCTGTGTTAAGACAGAGCTTGGATGTTCATGTTTTCATGAGGATGGATACTCAAGTTTCTGTTTTGACTGGAAAGAGCGGAGTCTTCAGAGAGTGAAATGTAACCCTGACCGTGGAAATGGATGTAAAAGTTGTGGTGCTGAATAATTAAGGCTGCTGATAGGATTAGAAAAACTCAAGACACCTTTGATACCAAAGTGCTCTCTCTCCGCACAGCCCTTTCTAAATCTGACCACAGTCAGTTCTAAAGTAATAGGAGGAAGAGTGCCACCTACTGAATTATAGATGTTACCTGTAAAGTGGTCTTTTAGCCCTAAATAGTTTCCCATATATTATGCATCATCTCAATTTTATTCTCCCTTGTGAACTTGGCCCATTAGGTGGCATGACTTACAGGTCTTTAATTACATTTAGGTTAAATATTCAGAGAAAATGGTACACTGTATTAGCAAAATCGATCATTTGAGTTTTATATAATCTTGAATTGCCTTAAAGGTTTCCTCATAGGCAAGAAAATTCTAGATGGTTTCTTTCCTTAAAAAGCTCCATGGTATACTCAGCAGAAACCACCACCCATCTGTTCAGCTAACAAATACATACCCTGTGGCAATGACTCCACCATGTGGAAAAAATGTGCAGCAAAGACCATTGGTCATAGGAGCAAATGCTATGGGAGTTTTCAGTTCCAGGGCCCAGATCCTGAGGAGTCTGGATGGGGAGAGAGAACATCCACACATTAGCTGACCCAGGGCAAGACCAGGAGGGCCTTGCTGCCATTATTTGCAAGCACTTGTTCTGAGGTCACGTAAAGAGAGTTCTATTTGTTACCTGTCATCTGCCACCGTGGCAAGGTACAAGCCTTCTGGAGAGAAGCACACAGATCTCAGTGAGCTAATGTGGACATCACTGTCATCCATGGCGGGGTCAACCTGGGTGTGGCTGAGAAGGAAAGAAACAGGATGGCAGGCCTGGAGTGATGGCTGCTCTCCACCCTCCATCGTCACCCCAGGCAGGAAGCCAAACTGCCGTGGCTATAAAAGGACTCAACATGCACTTGTGTGCCCCTCGTGGAAAAGCTTGGGATTTGCACACTGGGAAAAAAAGGATATCTCAGAAGGCTCCAGGTGTCCTGTGGAGGGACTGAAGGGTTACTAACACTTCCTTGTGCTAATTGGCTTATGCAAAGTAGGTCAGCCCTCACTTTAATGCCACAGTAGAAACTGCAAGTCTTTTTTAGGCTAAGATACATGATAATTATAGGACTGCCTATTATTTGCTTCATAAAACAACAGACACAAAAGGAAAAAGGAGACCAAGTTTATGAGAACATGAAACTCATTTTGGAAAGCACAGTTTCGATAAGAGGCTCTTTCTGAACTTGTTACTACAGTTATTAGTAAATGGAAATAAAGAGTCATATTGAGGCTTCATAATGCTGATTCCAAAGAAGTACATGCAGCCGCCTGAATCGGGAGACGGGAAGACACTCAAAGCTACTTGAGAGGGCTTAACTGACAAGGCATCACTAAGAAGCAATGAACCAGTCCAGGCGCAGTGGCTCATGCCTGTAATTCCAGCAGTTTGGGAGACGAGGCGGTGGATCACCTGAGGTCAGGAGTTTGAGACCAGCCTGACCAATGTGGTGAAACCCCATCTCTACTAAAAATACAAAAATTAGCCGGGCCTGGTGGCACACGCCTGTAGTCCCAGCTACTCAGGAGGCTGAGGCAGGAGAATCGCTTGAACCTGGGATGTGGAGGCTGCAGTGATCCAAGATTGCGCCACTGCCCTCCAACCTGGGTGACAGAGCGAGACTCCATCTCAAAAGAAAAAGAGACCCACTGTGCCTTTTTATCCAGCTTTTCCCCCTCCCATGTCCCAGACTCTAAAAGAGACATGTCTAATCCCAGGCAGGTTCCTCATCAGTCCCCCTACAAAAAAGTCATAGCAGGATTCAGTCCTTACTGGAGTGACCTCAGCCTTTCGCCGGTGTAGGGGTCCCACATAATCACATTGGTATCGTAAGAAGCCGTGACAAGCAGGGCAGAGTCGGGGGAGAAGTCACAAGAGACAACACTGCTTTGATGGCCCTCTAGCTTCCGAATTAACGTGTAGGACCTCATGCTCCATAGAAAGACCTGTGGAAAGTAAGAAGTGCCTGGTTAGGGCAGAAGCGAAGTGCTTAGGACTCAA